GCTTAGGAGATAGAAGAGTGCTATGACAACTTAGGGAAAGGGGAAGAAAAGGATTTCTGATGAGATTTATCTCCAGCCATTATTAACAGGCACATGGAAGAAAGAGGGAAGTGTTTTCCAGTCTCCTCCAAGCTCAGCTGATTCCTGTAGCCTGCCAGTGCCTGCAGCCTGGTGGCGGTGAAGAAGCATACAGATTTTTTCTGCTTTCCAGACCTCTGAGTCAGTATTTCAGAAACACTGTTGCTTGTGTAGAGTACCTAAATTTTTCAGAAACTACCTGGAATTAGTGCTCAGGCAGACTGCTCTGAGGCCAGCCCAAGCAAAGCTGTGTATACAGTGCTGGAGGGTGGCGGGCGCTCTAGGTAAGTGATCTTGATAGGTACATTCTGATTGATGGGGGAGTTTGTCTCCCAAACTGTCACAGGGTTTATAGAGGTGCCACTCAATACCAGTGCTGGAATTGCTTGTCAGAGCACCTGGCTACAAGAGCAATGGGGATTGGAGACAGAGCTGTAACTTTGTTTTTTCTCTGCTTAATGGCCCTGGCGTCTGACCTGACTGCTCACTCCTGTTTGTCTGGACCTTAAGGAGGCAGCTGGGATTAAGACTGTCAGAGGATTGTGCTGCTTTAGCATCAGGAGGCTAATTGTATTGAGGCTGGCAGCATATGACAAGTGGTTACCTCTTACCAAATGCACAGCAAGAGCAAAAAATTCTTCAAGGAAAGGGAAAGATATAGGAGAGTCTGCATTTTGGTTTGTTCTTTTTTTCATCTGAAAGCACCATTTTCAGATTGACATGTGGAATTGCGTTCCTCAGGCCTTAGGTGACTCTCCTTGTAAGAGTTGCAGCTGTTTCTCTGAGTAACAGATCGTGTCTCCTGTGAATTCCTAGGTCAAACTCACAACATTCAGTTGTCAGATTTCAATTTATTAACGTGTAGGGGTAAAGTTCTGGTCCCAAGCATTGACCTCTGGATAGTGGCACTGGCTTTAGAGGTCCGCTCTAGGCAGCGTTGCTGATGGCTGTGAACTACTACACGACCTTCAGAAGCCAAGCCTTGCTGGAGGAACCCTTCCCCATTCCCATTGCATGCTATTGAATTGCAAATCACCTGAGTGTAGTGGTAGGGGGTCTTCTGGAAGGTCCCATTGTCCTCTAGGAGTAGGTCCAAAACAATGCTGTTGGAAAGGCTGTTTTATTTTGCTCAACACCCTCTGTACTCCATTTCACATTTTCCTTGCTCTTGGATGGCAGCATACACTGCCGGCAGGAGCTGGAAGTTGTGAGCCCTCTTTACACTTGGGCTGAGTTAGTGAGAAGCAGGTGTGATCCTGTCGGGGCTTCCTTGCATTTAGTGGTCCTCTTAATCCATTTATAACAGCACTTGTCCAGAAATCTGGTTTGAATGAGACTGAGATGAATGAATAATGTCAAGCAGTTCAGACGTCAAATATTTGAACAGCTGCGTGGGTGTTTTCGCTGGCTTTGTGCATGGAAGCCACCCCAGAAAGTTAGACAAGAAGGGTCAGGTCGAAATTGTGGCACCAAACCCCAGCCGCCAGAACTGGCCTCAGAACCATCCCTGCTGCAGATGAAAGGGCATTAGGATGCCGGTGGCAGGTCATTCACTCTGCAGGTGATGCTGGACCGAGCTTTGCATCATGTTCTTTGGTGTTCTGTTGTGTGCAGTGGCCATACTGGGATTTATGGACCTTTTGAGTCACATCAGAAATATATTTTGTGGATTTTATTTTTCCTGTTTTTTTACAGCAACCTTTTTAAAGTCATAAAACTAATAGCAGAGCTTATATTCAAAGTCTTTTCTGGGTTCACGGAGATTACTTTGTTTAGCATACAGTTTCTGAATCAATTTTTTTTTACCTTGTTGCAATGGACTGCCGTTGGTCATGTTAAAAAAAAAAAAAAAAAAAAACCAGAATAAATCCAAATAATCAATAATCAAATTTCACCAAATAATTTGGTGAAAATTTGCAAGTTGGATCACCTTATTGTGGCTTCCTTTAGGCCTTGACCTGGGAGTCCTTGTTTGATCAGAAAAGAAAATTTAGCTGCCTTCTGCCCCTCATCTTAACCTACGAACTTCTCTGCTATGCCCTCCTCTCTGACTGAAATGCTGTTTCAGATCATCCCAGTGCGTATCAGTCATTGTAACACATACTGTCCAAACCCTTCCCCTGTACCCTCCCTGTGTAGGGAGGATAGCACTCTCTTGGCAGTGCAGTGGTTCCTATTATACAGCTAGATTCAGCAGAAGCTCTGGCATATTTTCCTTTCAGACTTAAAAAGGATTTTGTTAAGTACAAAGGTTTTGAGAGCAAGGACACTGGGATTCTGAAGTCAAGGTGCTTTAATATTTGTAAATTGTATTGCAGTAAGCAGATTTTATTTTCTTAAGCTCTAACCATAAACCACTAGTTGGCTTGAGTCACTTGGAAACAAAATTGATGGAAAGGTCCATGTTTGCTGTGTGCTTGGCATCCTTGCAGAGAGAGGGACGCAGGGAGCGGTCCCACTTAACGTTCACTCTTTTGGACACTTTCCCCCCGCCCCCATCCCAAGGCACTTGCTCCAACATTGTCTGGCTAACATTCAGATCACCTCCGGGATTGGCCAAGTCACAGCTCCAGCTTTGCATGATTTGTGTTTCCCACAGCTACAAGAAAAATGAAGACCTGTGTGTCCAAAGTTTATGGCCTTTGAGAAGTGATGGGCTAAAGTAATGCCAGGTGCAGGGGATGGTGTTACTGCAGGTTAAATGCCATGCCTGTAAATTACCACCCTATCGTCCACTGTGACTTCTAAGGCAGCTTTGAAAGACTATCCAGCTTCTTTGACAGGTCTTTCTTACTCCTTTAAATCTTCTCCCAAACATTGTGATGAACTGAAGGAGTCAAGATTTACTGGATGAGCCATTGCAGCAAGAGAAGGCAGCTCGTGACACGTGTTGGCTGGCAGCGTGCAGCCGGTATGTGAAAGACTTTATAAGGGGTCTGCTGGAAGAGGGCTACCCCAGTGACACTGCAGAGCTGACCTACAAGCATGGCTACTGCAGTACCTGGCGCAGGTGGCGGATGCTGCGTTGTCGATGCTAGTTTTGTTACCTCTGCTAAAAATTAAGACTGGCAATTACTTTGAAGTAAAAGGTAGTTTATGCTTCTAGGGAAAGGTTAGTCTTAAAATCATTGTCATGCTGCGGTTATCACTCGTTAAGGGCTTTCTTTATATTCAGGGAAGAGAAATATCAAATCCATATAAACAAATTTTATTGGAGGTTTAATGAATCCGCAAGAGCGTCCGTTCCTAGAGAGTGACAGTAAAGAACTGTGTCTGGATGGTGTCCTTGGAAATGAGACCTTCGCCTTGCCCTGCTCTCTGCACAGTTGCAGACTGTCAGAAATATAGCTCGCTTTTCTGGGCTGGGAAAGTGCAAGTTGGCTGCTGACAGCATGAGCTTGTATAAGTGTGCTGGTGAGAGCCCAGTGGGATGAACAGATTCAGACATGTGGTGCTAAAAGGGCTACCCTAATGCTCGGGAATGTCCTCATTCTTCAGACATGCACCTTATGTTCAGTGCTTCTGCATTAATAGCCTGTCTTCTGCATTTAGAACCACATTTGCATGCAGAAATGTACCCCCATTGGGTACATTTGGGTACTACAAAGAGTACTACCTTACTCTTTCAGTGTTTGCAGTGCTCCCTGGTCTAGCCACAGACTTAGGTCATGAGCCATCTGTCTATGCCAGGTCCTTCAGGCTCCAGTGGGTACCCTCTGTCTGTGAGCCAGGTGTCCAGGTCTGCTCTCTGGGCAGTGCGCTGCTAAGTAAAGGAGCTTACTGGAGGCAGACAGGGTGAGCATATTTCTGTCTGCGTAGCTTATGTCCCCAGACATCTTAGATCTGCTGCAGAATTGAACGCGAATGAGGACCTTGCACCACCCTAGGATTCAGGAGATCTTTGCTTATTTTCCAGTCTCGTGGGAGAGAACATGTCCAGTGTCAGATGTCATAAAAGAGTAAATACATGTCTTCCTTAGTTTCCCTTGTATTAATAAACCTTAGGCAGGGAGTATCATGTGAAGATTCATCTTTGTAGGTGTTTGCATGAAGATTCAGTTAAAAGAAGCCTGGTTACAGTCAGCAATAACGCAGTCCACAAAATGCTGGAGAACCAAAATAAATGTATGTATTGTTAGAAAGTGGCAATCATTGCACAATTCAGTCTCTGGTGGAGCTGTTCATGCTTGTTTCCTGCTGGAGATGGGACTGGGCTCATGCCTGATCCACCTGTGTTGGAAGTGCAGGACTCTTGTTGACATGCACTGGAATTTGCTCACATAAGAAGTGCTTATAAGGAGCTGTTAATGACTGTGGAGTCTGGGTTTGGTTTTTTCCCCCTCTCCTAGGAACAGATTTGCTATTCTTAAATGTTTTATATTGCAAAAGTCTAAGCCATGACTAAATGCATTTAAAAAAGAAAAAGGTATTTCTAATCATATTTTATCCTCTGCCTGCCCTCTGCATCTGAATTAAGGACTAATTCAGAACATCCCTGTGGCTGTCTCTTACCTGCTAGTAGTGTAGCTTTTGTGTACTTCTGTGAAAAATCAGTCTTCCTTATTTTCTGTGAAAAATTAGTCTTCCCTATTTTGCTTCAGTCTTTTTCTGCCTTTGAGAGAGACCCTTCCAGTGCCTTCAACTTCAAAATAACTCATGAGGAGGGCACAGTGCCAAGAATGTTTCATTTTCAGTGTTGAGGGGCATTTTAGAGCATAAAATGCAGGAAGTTAGAGCATTTCTGTGAGTGTTTTCTGTGCAGTCCTCTGAAAATTGTTTTTGTGCAGTCTTCAGAGATGGTACCTTTTGTGAGGCTGTTAAAAGGACAGCCTGCAGACTGGTGCTGTCGCACCATCCTTAGGAGATCTCCTACACTTCATTTCTAATTCAAATGCTCATCCACATGTTTTATTTTCTTCCAGGTTCTGGGTTTATCATGTGCAGTGGCAAGGAGAATCCAGACAGCGACGCTGACCTGGATGTGGATGGAGACGACACACTTGAATATGGGAAACCACAGTATCGTTTTTGAAAGGCTCTTGCTGAGAGGGAACCTAGAGGTGCATCTTCAGCTGGCTTTCACACAGTACTGCCCTGGGTAGCGGTGGATAATCTGTGTCCAACCCTACTGGAAATGGCCCTGCATTCTCCAGTTTACCATGTTATTTGAACTAGGAGGGATTCCCAGTTACTCCCTTTGAAATCCTTCTGTTGATGCAGCATGACTTCAGACCTTGAAGTCTGTAGGAGACGTTTCAGGAGATCAAAGCTGGTATTTCTCTGTTCTGTTTCTATTATCTGTTGTCTTCATCCGGGTTTCTTCCATATGGATAGCTTTTCCTGCTTCATGGGTAGGAATTGAGTTTATTTTCCACAAGACACCCATTTGTTTTCAGGGGTTTTGTGTAGTAAACATTTCAAGCGCTATTCACCTGCCACTCTGAGAGACTGGATTATTTTTTTTCCTTTTGTTAGACAGAACATGAGCAGAACTATCTTTAAGGGCAGTTTTGGGGAACTTCTCCATCTGGGAGCCAGGGTCTTCGGACACAGCTCTGGGAGAGCTGTGGGCAGACTTCTGCCCTGCAGCAGCTCTTGCAGCCATCAAGGAAGAATTCCTGCAAAGGTATTAGGCAGACATTGACTTAGTTGTGATGAGGGGGAATGTATAGCTATAGAATTAGATTTCATTGAAATCTGTACCACCCTTTAAGACTGAAGCCCCAACCCTTAGCTGGTAAAAGATCTCTGTACCTCAAGCAAATACGGAATTGTGCAAGTTAAGCTTGCAGAGGCTGAGGAATTGGTTTTCCCCTTCTAAGAGGCTGTGACATCATGTTGCTGTCAAAAGACTGTTCTGTTTCTTTCCACCTAAACCAAAACTTTAGTGCAGAATTTAAAAGCAAACCCCTCCATGGATACCAGCCCCTCTTCTTTTGAGGTATTCCCAGTTGAAATGAATTTGTTATGTATCCTAGATAGTGTGCTAATCATCTCAAAAACCTTTCCACTGTCTGCAGCAAGGCTGTACGTTCCTTAACCCCTTGTGCTCAGGTACACAGAGGCAGACGTTATCCCTTGCACTGGGGAAGAGCCAGGTGAAGCCAAAGAGAGGGAGGCGCTCCGAGGTGCTGTTTTAAAGTAAGTACTGTGCCTTTCTAATTTGCTTTCATTATTTTGGGGGAATCTCCATTTGTGGAAAACACCCGTTCACTTGAGTGCAAGGGTCACAACGAGAGAGGCTTACAAAGCAGCATAGTGTGACGGGTGGGTCTCCATTTCTACCCATGCAGCCTCATAAAGCCTCCCTGCGCACTCTCCCTCCCTTAACCACCCCACTGCCCAGCCAGTGCTGTCTTCTCCCTGAACAGTGCTGGACAGAAGGTGAATTCTGGCAATGGGGAAACCGTGCTGTACTAAGGCCTTATGCATCATCTTGGTTCACGATGGAATGTGACCTCTTAGTAGTAGTATAATGTGATGCCATCTGAATCTTGTTCAGCACATTAAGAGTCTGGCACCCAGGGTATGATTTCATTGCATCCCATTGTGTGTTGTGGGGTACGCAAACTAAATCACCTGCATTCGGCTCTGGGGTTCGGGCAGGATGTGTGCTCTGCCCACATACATATGTGGAGAAGGTAGGCACTTGGGGAAGCATTTCAGGCAAATAAAATGAGTCTTAACAGGGAGCTAGGATTGCTTTCTAGGCCCTCTGCCCTGCATAAAACAGGGCTTAAACTACCCCTCTGTCTCTTCACTGAGTGATTCTCTGAGGTCAAGGTTAAAGTGATTGATAGAGCAGTGAAATGAAGTTTTCGTACTGCTTAGCCTGTCACAAACACTAGTTCAAAATTAGGTTCCACTCCATAGAAAAATGGCATTTGCCATACTAGATCCAAACCATTGGTCCATTCTATACTTTGCGAACCATGCTAGTCAATAGGCAGGGCCCTAAAGATGCTGAAGCTCCTTCACAGCCGGGACAGTGGTATTGTAGCAGGAGGATGTTGGGGTATCCCTTATCAGTGGCTGTGGACACTTAGTGGTTGGTGAGACAACCAAGGACCTGAGGCCAGGAGACCCAGTTCCTTTGTGTGACTTGCAGCTAAGATGTCATTTTGCTGTTTAGGCGAGATCCTTGCGTGTCTCCTGGACTTGTTTGCCCACCTCTGAAACAGGAGAGGTGATGTTGCTTGTAAAAGCACTTTGAAATTCTGGCAAGTTTCTGTAGAAATGCAGTAGGGTAGCTGATGCCATGAAGCGTGAGGCTATATTACCTTTTGAGTGCAACTGTCCTAGCACAGAGAGCTAAAGTGTTACACAGAGGTGTGCAGCCTGCTCAAAAGATTCCTTTCTCTTACAGTCTCTGTTACTGGCTTGCAAGTCAATGGACAGGGTTAGGAGTTGTCTACTTCAATGCTGCTGTTCTTCAAATGGGAAGGTGGAAAAGATGGAGCTCCTGAAGGTGTAAAGTTATTCTGAAAGGGAAAAGCTATTGCAACACAGAGGATTTCTGTTCACGAAGAAGATTTTCATCTTTGAAATTGTGTATTCAAAAATGAGCCTTAGGTCACAGGTGCTGTTTGAATCCCAAGCCTTCAGTCAGCATCACAACACCCGTGTGATTCAGCAGAGGTCGCAGCTAGAAGTGCAGGTTGGGAGAACACTGGTGGAAATGTGGACTAGCACAAAAACACCTCCTACAGCAGGCCAACCGCTCGCGTTTTGAAGTCTAGACTGATGGATAGAAGTATTGAGATAGAAGTGGTGGGCGGAAGGGGTAGCTTTTCCTGAGCAGCAAAATTTTCCATATTCAACCTTTAGCATTCTACCCTTTTCTCTTTTAGTGGTGGCACACCCAGTACTCGAATAACACCAGAGTTTTCAAAATGGGCCAGTGACGGTGAGTGTTGAACTTGTAAATGATTAATTTTCATGCTACAGGAGGGCAGATAGATATTCTGTATCTTCTGATTGCCAGTAATTGGGCAAATGGTAGTTACAAATGCTCTTGCACAGTACCAGCAGATAGGTGTGCACATACAATCACACTGCCTTTTGAAGCTTTACAGCACAATTAACTATAGTCAGTGGCAACCAGGGTAGTTCCAAAAATGCAACCGTAACTGATATGGTGATAAGAGATAGGAGTTGGATTGACTTGCTCTCATGTCACTAAAAGACAAACTGCCATATCACAGAGGGAACTGTCAGAGCTTGACTGTGTGATGGTGATGTTCAGCTGCTGGGGGTTTAAACTACGCAGGCACCTGTTGCTTGGGTTTTTTTCAACTGCTTTCTTGTCATCTTCCCTTCTTTAAAATGATATGCTAGAGACTTGTATCATGATCTGTTGGGTAGGTCTTGTCCTTGTTGGCCTCTGTATGGCAAGAAAAGCCTGCAGCTCTGAAGCCTGCACCTTTAGAGTGTGAACTCTAGGATCTGTCCTACTTCATGACCTGTAGTTGAGACTCCAGAGCAGACAAGTGAATGTGAAATTATACCTTTGCATGCATTCTTTGAAAGCTCGTAGCATTAAGGCAGGGAGGAGTGTTAAACCCATTTGACTGCTGGGTTTTTTTATTTAATGCCAGCAGCACTGGAAGTGTAAGCAGCAACCTAGTGGAAATATGAGAATAATAAAACCTGGCGCTTTCCAGCTGTAGATGCCAAGTCCATTTCCAGAGCTGGGCAGTGCTGCTCCAGCTCCCTTAGGAAGGAAACTGAAGCTCAGCGACCTGAAGAGACTTGTCCCAATGATTTTGTTCCCTGTTCTGTTACTGTAATGCTTTGGGCATTTGATTCCTAGCCTTGAAAGTACCTACAAGACATAGCTGCTTGCTAGTGGAGGGGGATGGGTAGAATCAGTTTTGCCAAAGGCATGATGATTAAATAGAGAACATAGGATATCTATCGCAGGCATTTTCTTCTCTGGGATAAGCAATCACATTTATTTTCTGTGACGTAGGAGCGCTCATTTGTAGGTGTGTTCAGCTTCAGTAACTACAGCCACAGAGGCGGTGAGGAAGCAGCCCTGATGGCACTTGCTGTTAGCTCTTTTCTTCATATCTTTTTCCTGAAGCCACGGTGCTGAACTTACAGCCCAGGGTCTGGCCCTGGGACAGTTCATCTGGGTCATCTCCAACTGGTACCTCACACCCCCTCCAGTGCTGGGAGGAGCCATGGGACTGCTACTACTAGGAGAGCTATGAGCAGACTGTTCTGTCATTCTAGTTACCTGGCGTGTATTTTTCTCCCTGTCTGTGTCTGAGGGGTCTCAGAAAAAGGGAGGAGCTGGGCTGGGTGGATTTGCTCAGGACCCGCCTTTCTAGAAGTACACTCTGGCGTGGCAGCTGCATCAGACCTTTCTGAATTAAATCCTGGCTTAAACAACTGGTGCATCTGTGACAGTCAGTCAGTATGAAGTGGGGAGAGGGTAGGGGTTATATCTTCAGCTGCGAATCATAGAAGCATGCTGTCCAGAGAGAGGGCCTCCCTGCCAGACATGGACACATAGCATCGGTCTCCTCTCTCTTTCCAAGAATCGGCTTGAAAATGACTCATCGGGGTTCTCTGCTTCTGAAACTGTAACTCGCACAGACTGTTTCATTGAAATGATCAAATGTTCTCTTACTAATTTGTCTGTTCTTACCTCCACAGAAATGCCCTCAACGAGTAATGGTGAAAGCAGTAAACAGGAGACCATGCAGAAGACCTGTAAGAACAGTGACATTGAAAAGTGAGTGTGGAGTGGATAGCTTTCATTTTTCTTGTTTTAAGGAATCATAGTGTCCCATCTGGTGTTCTCAGAAGCAGTACTAGTCTGAGGGTAGGCATATTTGAAGCTTTTATCACTGAGAAAGGAAATTGTGCTCCAACATGAAGCGTGGACTTGGAGCTATTGGCATGCTATCTTGCTGCTGCTGTGTCCACAGGGAACCTGTGGGAATTTCTCCCCCAGATATCTGCGCAGGCAGGTACCCAGTGACAAGGAATTGAGTGCAGCTGCCAAAGGGATTCTGCACTGCAAATTGCCTTGTTTTAAAATATGTAAATAGATAGATCCATGCTTTCCACCGTATGCTAGTTATGGTGAGTTTTCAAATATGTTATGTGGTGCATAATAGCCTAGACTAGAGCTGGGACTTTGGATGGGAGATGAAGATTCAAACTCAATTTAACCTGACAAAAGCAATTGGCTTGTCAAGCTGTTTTTTTTTTTTTTTTAATTTCCCCTGCAAGATTTCTGCTATCAATGTATCGTGGGATCTTGCATTTACTAGAGAAGTTACCTTATCATTGCATCTTGGTTTTTGAGGACAGTCCTTTACATGGTCTCTATTGTGTTTTCTCCATGGTACCTGCATGTTCCACCCTCTATCTCTCCAGCAAAAGGGAATCCCAGCAGCCCCGTAACTTGGCAGAAGCCTCACTGAGAGAATTTCTTTTCACTTAAGATCTAGATTTCACCTTTGTATGGTTGCTAATGGAAATAGTCTCTCAGTTCCTTAGGTTTTTTTGCCTGCAGCCCTTCCAGTTGATAGAATTTTAAGTCCCAGTGTTTGAATATACAATAATGCAGGGGCTCCTGGCGATCTCCTTTCCTGTCCTTTTTTGCTCACTGGATATCCTGCAGCCTAATCCAGGATAGAAACAAATGGTTTTAGAGTAACAACCTCTGTCCTCGCCTGCCTTCCACATGCTGCTAGGGTGACTTACTGCTCAGGCAGATTTGACAATCCAAGCCTAAAACTACAGGCTCTTCACTGCTGCCACGGACTGCATTAATTGGGATGGGGCAGTATTTTAAATTGTTACTGCCTGTCATACAATGTTGCCCCAAGATCAAGTGAGAGACAAAATGGCTTGAATGAGGTGGAAACAATGAGGTAATCGTGGGTTTTAAACAGACGGCATTTACATTTTGGGGATGAGGTCCACTGGTAATTTGGGATGGGGAAAACATCTGGTGGTAGCGTTAAGCTGACTTGTTCTGCCGCTGGTGCTGACTTGGGAGGTTGTGTCCCTGGCACATTTTGGGATCTCTGACAGTTCAGGCAGCTTGGCAAAGTGTGTGTTCAAGGTCAGGGGTTAACTGGGGAAATTCCCTGCTGCAGAGGAAACTTTCAACACTGCTTTGCTGTCTTGGCACTTTCCTTTTTTGCAAGGCTTTTTATTAGCATGTCCCAAACATGGGCTGTCTCCTCTTCGATGCTTCTCAGTGAACCAACTTTGGCCAAGGACCACTGAGTTAGGGAGCTCGCAGGTCAGTGCAGAAGCAGCTTTGTCCTTAGAGCGAACCAACGATTGCATGCTGTCGTGGTGGCAAGGACTCATCCCTTGTGCCCTAATCCTGTCAGTCTCTGTTGCAGCCACTGCTTGGCTTCCCTTTGGGCCTCCTGCCTATCAGCCCAGAAGCCCTCCACCCTCCCAGATCCACTCCTATTGAAAATCTTTAAACTGCAAGAGCTGAAAGGATTTGACATTTTCCACAACACTTGAGCTCAAGTGATAAAATTGACATAGCTTTAATAATCTGATCAAAGAGGCTTTAGCTAGCACCTTTTTGAAGGATCCCAGAATCCTTTCCAGACAACACTCAAGCTAACACCGCTGTGAAGTGGGGGAGCGTGTGTGTGTGTACACATGTATGCACACGCACCTTGCTCCACAATAAACTTGCCCCGCTAAAGCTTCAGTTTTGCAAAAGGTGCGAAAAGTCAGCAAAACCCAATAGAAATTACAGGAAAAGCCATAAGTGTCTTGCTGAGTCTTTCCAATAATGTTGGTTTTGTGGGTTTTTTTTTGGAAAGTAGCAGGAAGGGCTTTTTATTTAAGGCACTTTATTTCACCAGGGTTCAGAAAACAAGATGATGTTTCAGGTGGCAAATTCCTAGCTGCCTCCCCCCGCCCTGCTTCTTTCCTTTGAGATTCGTGTGTGATAAATAGTTTCTGTCCTGCCATTTAAGGAGTCTGAATGCTCTGTGTGCTTGTCTCTGTAGAGGGGTTCTGTTAAATTAATTGATAACAGAGATCAGAGCTAGAAGCCTACAGAAAAGGAGGGGGAAGGGTTTCACACTGTCTGGCTGCTTCCCACTCCACTGCTGAGCCATGATATATGGCGACCCAGCCCAACAGGCTAAATTGATTCATCTCTAGTTCCTGTTTCTTAATCTGGAGCTAAATTGGTTTCATTTTTCTTGTTTTGGGTGGTGCTTACAGGAAGTTTTTGGCAGCGACACTTTTCTCCATTGTTTGTAACTTTAATTTTTGCCTTTAAATCTGAGTGTTATTGATTGGCATGTTAAACCCCATGTAGCATCTGATTAGCATTTTTAAAATTGTCTAGAAGCACATGGCTTACCACCTGTGTCAGCTGTGCTCTCTGTTTAGAGCAGTGGCTAATACAGTTAGCAGTGATCCACGTATTGATCCTTCTCTCATAAGAAAGACATTCCTTCCCCCTCCCCTCTTCCAAAAATAAGTCTAGGCAAGGGGAGTGGTGTGGTTTTGTTTGTTTGTTTTTTTAATCCATTAATACCGTACAACAAGTGGTCCTCCTGTTGGCACGCAGGTGAAGCTCTTTGCTTGAGCAAATTAATTTAACCTAAACTTAGATTTATTTTTGTGTGGGTTTTTTTGTTTTGGTTTTTTTTTGTGAAAGAGTCTCTTGCCTGTAGAATGACTAGATGGGGTTTGAGATAAGTCTGCATTTGTTGCTCTGCTCCTTGTGCCATGCCAGATCACCGATAGCTTGGGCAGTTGACCTTATCTGTGTTGTGTTGAACTTGAGATGGCAGCCACAGGTAGTGAGAGAGGTGGTACTGGTCCCACCTCTCCTTCCCAGCACTGCAGAGTGTCTCAGCCCTGCTGAGCTTTTCTAATCTTGCCAACATGAGGTGTCTGGAAGACACCCTGGGGTGCTGAAGGCTTGTGGGGAGAGGTAAAGGAGCATCTTGAGGTTGACTCAAAGCTGCATCTTGAGGTCGACTTAAGATGCAGCTTTGATCAGAGAGAGCAGCCAGTCCCTAATTGCCCAGACGTCCTCCTTGACTCCTCCGCCAACGTTGTACTCGCAGCCGAAGCACTGTCGCACACAGAGAGATGCAAAAAGCACCTTCCCTGCAAAAAGTCCTCCTCCCCCCTCCCTTCCGAGATGCCGCCTGCGAGACTCTGGTGCCATTTTGAAACCGAGGTTCCCCGGGGTTAAAAGCCAGCATCTTAATTCAGAGTGCCAATGTTCAATTTTGCTTTCTGCCACCAGACTAGATTGCAGGCCAGCGAGAGAGTCTGGGTTAGTGGCCCACTGGGTCACCTCCCATTTGTTTTCCTCAATTTTGTGTTGTCATAAATTCATTCCAGCCCGTTGTGGTTGATCAGTTTATCTCCGCCGGGGCAGGGAGCGCTGCGAGCATGATATATGGCACAGAGCATTGTAGCCAGCCTCTCCATGAATCACTCCAGCTGTTTGGTGTCAGCCCCAAAGCAAACAGGACCCGGCCGCTGAGCGTTGACTACGATGAGCTCAGTATGGGAAGAGACATGACGTATGAATGTTTATTTAATAATTCTCTAATATTTCCAGCGGAGTGTGGCTGTGCCTTCTGGGGGGGGGAAAAAGGGGGGGAGGTTGAAGAGGGAAACTCTAATCTGTTGGGGTGGGTCATAAATCAGGCAGACAACATCATTAATCAGGGATGGGACAGAAGTGGAAGGAGGTGGGACTGGAGCTGCCATCCTCAGTGGCAAGGGGGCTGTGCTCTTTTTTTTTCGTAAAACAAATCTTGTTTCTGATTCTGCTTGGCCCCAGCCACACTGCCCGCATAATAGCAAACCTGGACACAAGGCTGTTTAAGTGAGTATGCTACCTCTGCTATATACCTTGCAATACGAGCCTGCCAAGCATTAAATCCCTTTATAATTATCTTCTTTATATAACACTTCATGCTCATCATGCTTCATTGGATGAGACGCTCGTTGGGTTAAAAAGAGGGTTTTATAGACAAAAAGCAGTTGTATTTGTTTTATTTTTCCTCTCTCTTCTTTCCTCCCCTTCCCCCTACCTCACCTCTTTCCAATCCAGCTGTTCCGAAAGCATCAGCTCCAGAGGAGCTCTAGTGCAGCAGCACAGGAAGGAACATCAGTTAAAATTAAACAAAGTTTAGGTTGGGGTCTTGTGCAAAGAGTCGGGCATGTGAGAGCAGTTGGGGAGGTAGTAGTGTCTGTCGGGGGGACCTTGCTCCCAGGCAGATGGGTCAAGATGGGCGCAGAGTGAGTGTGAAGCCAGAGGATTACCAGAGGCCTGAAAGGGAAGAAACCACCCTTAAGCTGGTGTGTGTCAGAGGGAAACAGAAGCTGTTGTGAATTCACACCAGAGGATAAGCGCTCCCCAGCCTTTCTCCATAGTGTCACACCATTAATAGGCTTTAGTGGGAGACAAGAACATCATACAGCAAAGGTGGAATTAAAAAATTAAATTGAGTCATAAATTAACTAACCCTTTGTGCTCTGCTAAGAGAGAGCATGATGCTGCTGGTGGGTCCAGTCCTAGATCAGCCCATACAAACTTGAGACAGGATCCAGGAAGCTGAACTGAAGTCTGGGTTCGTCAAAACCAGGCTGAGAAAATGCTGCTGCGCTGTGCTGCTTGTGTCCAGATTTTAATCTTTATTAGGTTTTAGTCTTCCTTTTCAGTAATTCAGTAGTATGTAGTATGTGCTTGTAACATATACTGGTGTT